ATGGGTCTTCAAACTGCACTGTTAACTAGCTGGCATAGGGAGCTGTGAGTTCGGTGTGGTTCAGCAGGACGACGACATTCGCTGTTATTCGATATTTTTCCAAACAAGGGGCCTCTTCGAGCTGTGGAGGACGTTTACTGAATACGACTCCCCAACTTGTGAAAACGAGCCGCGAAAGAGTTTTCCGCGAGCCACACGTGAAAACGAGCCGCGAAAGGGTTTTCCTCAGAGCCACACACGACCCCCAGCACAGCGTCCAAATACAACCTCCGCTGTGTTTTCCACAAATACGACAAGCTTGCGTGGAGCACAACAGAATAGTCTGTCAAAACATTTACCACATCGTATTGCTATAACCATGGACGTTGCTGTGGCGTTGTTTATTGCTATTATAATAGCTCATGGGATTGATTTCTTCCCCGAACTAATCGACAGATTAGCGAGCTGTGTCAATCAGAAATGAGACTCCATCCAGACATCTCTGGATACGCGAAAAATACCGTAGTGGGGCTGGTCAATTACAAGCCTAAATACAACCAGTACACTCACCCCCTGCGTACTTGCTGAGTGTGGGAGGAATGCTCTGCGGCTGCAGTAGTGTGCCATTTTCGCAACAAAATTCTCACACGCCGGCAAACGGGCTTGGAGGGTAGTGATGCCCAGATACCGTATCCATACTCCGCCGACGCTTGACTAGCACTTGCATTTAGTTAGATCTGTCCGCAAGCAGATGTATTATTCTCGCTGCTCAAAACACTTGACAACGACGGTACCTGATCGCAGCGGGGGCAATACCCCGCCCTTTGCTTTGTGCCACACCCAACGCGAATTTGAATGACTACTTATTTTATGGTGGGGCGGATTGTTCCGCGAATTATCCCTGACACACGAAATATTGATTGTGGGATAGTGCGTTCGCGGCTATGGTGTTTGTCAACAGCCAGATAGAGATAACCTCACGTTGGTAATTGGTTGACAGTTTGCTCCATTTTAGTCAGTTTACCTACTACTGAGACTCTAGCGTACCATCTGTATGAGTTGTAAATACAAATCATCGTGGCCTGATGGACTTCGATGCTCTAACGCGAGTTAGGCCCGGTCGGATATCGGCCTCCACTACTGTTCCTGTTCACTACTCTTGCGAGCCATTGAATGTTGTTTTGGCCGACAGACTGTTATGTAATTGCCTCGCTCCTGAGATGTGGATTGGCTCTAACCGGATCCGTCGGAATGCGTGGGTGGGCCAAACTGGGACTGCGTTTCGCGGAAAGGCGGGCGGTGTGTATGCAACGCCCAGAAACCTAGAACCGATTGTAACGTGGAGGTGCTACAAGTAGGAACAGGTAACGTGGGCTAGGAAACCGTAAGCCGGAGCCTTCCATACCTCGCACATGATCTAAACGCGATGGCATACTTTCGAATGGAGAGGTGACTGGGCTTTCGGTGGAATATGCCATTCAAGTCTTCATCCACTACAAAGCTTAAAGACAGTTGTCTCGGAACGGCAGTGTTAACAAAAAGAGCAGCTGCCGGACTTTCGATGGTGTACGCAGCCACGCCTACCCCATCTCCGGGATACTGGCTGCACATAGTGAGCAACGCAGATCTCCCCCGTCAACAGCCACGATTCCCACTCATATTTCTTCCAGCTACTTACGCGCTGTTGAGTTTTCTTAGTTTCTGGGTAGAGCGATGAGGAAAACCTTACAGAAAAGGCTAGCTATCACAAATTCGGTGTTGTGTTGCTCAACATAACATTTCATAACAAGTATACTCCCTGGTTATGCGGTTGCTAGGGGTTGTGGTAAAAACAGCAACGGACTTGTGATCTGCATTCTCCTCGCTCCTCCCACCTACCCCATTGTAAATAAGGCAGTCCAATAAGGAATCAATGCCATTTTAATGTCCTGCTCCGTAATGGACTCCTTGCTAGACGTGTGTTAGTCCAGGTGCCGTCCAGCTGAATCGTTCTGTTATTGATCGCTGAATGTGATGACGTGCATGAATGAAGAGTCATTGTCGAACACATTCAAGCCCTCTCTCTTTCTCGTCGTCACACCAGCGCCCAAATTGTCACACCCCCGCCTGCGGGATACCCATGGGCTGTGGTCAAAGCGTTGCCGGCCGTGCAACTGAAACCCCACCTATCATTACTTCTTTGATGCTTCTACAAAAGCGTCGAATCGAGCAGCGAAAAGGGACCCTTCCCCTTTCGTTGCCATCCGTCCATCCAGGAAAAATTAAAAAAGGTCAGTTTCGGTCTGTTTTTACCTTCAACTAGGGCTTTATCATTTCTGCATGTTAAAAACTAAACTCTTGCTGATTTTCTGGGGACAATCGATTCTCAATCACCACAAAAAGAGATTCTGGGGACCGGTAGCGGAACAAATATTTCACAGCCTTCTTCTTTGCCACAAGTCTCGGATAGACGGAGTGGACATTTGAAGGACTTCTTGTGCGAAGCAAGAGTTAGAATACAGTAGTTGATAGTGTGGCAATCGGACGGGGCACTTTCAATATGGATGGGTTGATCCCACCCGCGGTGTTCCCAGCACTGGCTATTTTGTCCCTAAATCGATCACTAACCGATCGCCATTGGTAGAGCAAGCCAGCTGGAGGCGGGATCACTCCGCCCCTCCTGGCAACGCCCGCCTGATTACGACGTTACCAACTATAGGTACCTTTTTACAAGCCTAAAGAGATCACATCAAGCAACGGAAATTGCTATTGGATGCGTTAGCCTCTGGTCACTAGTCGCGCAATACGGTCTTTAAAATTGCCCCTCCAAGGCTTATTAACGCCTGGACAAAACCGTCTAAACATCAACAATAAGAGGAAATTGCTCGCTCTCTCAATATATATTAACAAATCAATCGATCGCTACCCATAATATTATAATATGTCCAGTCGATAGAGGTCTCCGAGCAATCGATCAGTGCCGATGCCTATTTTAACATCATTACCACAAGTTTTCTCTAAGCATTTCCGAACACTCTGTGATGTTCCCAGGGAGATGCTCAGCTGTTTAATGCGATTGCTTTTTCCAAACCGATAGGATCAATAATGGCCGTTTTTACGTCTCGCTTTTCACTTTCAAAAAGTGAACGATGACGCAAAGCATACATTGAATCGTAGAAACCACTTGCAATCTTGCTCGCTGCGGATGAAGAGGCGTGTTAGGTTCTAGGTTTGGCTCGCCGCCAGCCCATTTTCCACCAGTCGTTGAAGCGGAGTCAGCGACAACTGGTGAAAAATGACTGATTCGAACGATTTGATACAGTCTTGCCGCCGCCTAAAAAAACTAGCTGACATCGCGTAAAATGCATCCTCCGTTGACACGCCCCATCATCCATACCGAACAAGGGTATACAGTCTGTGACTAAATATTAGGTTGGTTCGAAAAGTCCTGCGACACTTTGACCAATTTTTCGGACTAAATTTTCAGTCACTAAAAGACATCTCCAATCTACAAGGTAATCACCACTAAGGACTAGGACTAGTGCCCTTCTTTTGCACAGCTTCTCATTTCCATTCTTATAGAACTACGGCAACTATGATAAGAAGAAGAGGTGGACCTCATTTTTTGAGTAGACGGCGGAGATAGCGTCTTTCGGCCCGAATTTTTTTGCCTGGTTTTGAGGATGCGGATAGGAATCAACACACAAGGAGCGTGTAGTTAGAGACTGGCCTAACTTGATGAAATAATGCTGTGGTTTTGTTCGCATTCTCAGGTCAAGATCTCATACGAAATCTTTTTGGTGTGGCCTGATCCTAACATGCGCTCTTCGCATTGCCGAGCGGTAGAGAAAAATTGAGTATTTTTGAAGAACTTCAAGCGTGACGTCATCCATGTTGTGAGGATTGCGTTTAGCAGTGCGTACTGTAGTCCCTTACCGTTATTGCTAGTATCCAGATGATGCCGTCCTTTGAATGGTTTCTGCGTGAGAGCAAAGTGTTCGCCCCTGCGCTCGGTGAATAGAGAGGAGGTCGGGCCACAAATTAACGTCTACTGAATATCTTTAATCCAATGCATAGCATCTGCTTTGGCTGTCGCAAGTCTACTTTTTCTGTTGAGAGAGATCCTGCGCAGGAACATCGTGTCCAAAGATGTACGGACTCCACCACCTCTCTACCAACACAAGATCTCACACAATAGTTCTCCATCAAGTGTACAAGGAAAACAAACTCAGTCCACAGCTTCATCGTCGGCTATGACTTGTTGCAGAGGGACATCCTTCATAGAAAAATTTCTCAATATACGAGCACCTGCGGAGAAGCCATGCGCTAGTTGTCTCAGTTATAGATGCGAGCTAGAGAGGGTGCCAACGTTACTGGTGGTTACGTTCGGGCCTGCGCCTCAGGAAGCTTGAGTGTAAAGCGGCCGTTCATTCTGTGCTTCCGGGTGTGCCGACCCTAATACTACCATACTTCCGTTTGAATAATGTCCATTGCTGGCAGAGCGCTGATGCAAAAGGAACTCTCTGCTATGGCAAGCGATATCCTTCCTCAAGACAACGTAAGTGTTAGCTTCCTCGACTATGGCGGAGTTGCAATCTTGCGTCCAAGGAACTCATTAATATTGGGATAGGTCGAGAAGTACCTCTATGCTCTGAGAGGATATTTTTACAGCTTTGAACTTCACGGAGCCAACTGACTATACCCATTTTCAGCAACCCAGAGACAGTCTTCACCTAAGTCAGCAGAGAAACATTCAAAATGATTCTTTGGACTTTACTTCCTAGTAATAGATTCCGGAAAAATCTGTCGCAGACTTTTCGAACAACCCTAATTAATTTTCGGGACATTCCTATGCGGGCACCTAATGCGCACCCGGATAACTAGTTCGGAGGATAGAGATCCTTGCGCGCTACAGTGGTACGCGTACGTGGGGCAGTTGTTATAAAATAGGCTACTAGAATATTCGGATGTCGGTCTTCTTACTTTCCCTGCCTTTCAATACGTCCTCGACGCGTACCGCGATCGGGATTCTTTCCTTATCCATGCCAGAGGTCTAAGATTATTCTGTTCCGTTTAGGTTTGCCGAGTTATCGTTCATCTTTTCAGTTGTCATACAAGTAACTTTTAGATAAACCTTCGTCATGGCATGTTGGATCATCTTAAACGACAAAAAGACACGTGTACCGCTTGTGGAGGAACGATGCTATTAGAAATGGCGGCTCTTTCGAGGCTCACTGGGAACGGCATTTATGAAGAAAAGGTATAGTTGAACTTAAGGTTTGGGCTCTGTTATACTATCCACCTCCAAATCGGCCGCCGAACGCTGACATTTTTTAAGGCGAGAAAGCCATGGATTTTCCTGTGGAGCCAAATGCATCGCGCTACTGATTTGGAATGGGGACCGTCTTGATGTTTCTTCTGCGTGATTTTGGGTCCGGATCGAGTATATAATTTAGTTTTTATTCAATTATGTGGTCATTAAAGCGTCAAATGTTTTCAGTTTTCTTTTTTATTTTCTTCGTTTACTACTCTTCCCTTGAAGGCATGACTTGGCAAGTGATAGAATAACAGCATGGTAGATAAATAGCAGGCGAATGCGCCTTGTGAAGTAGCTCCTCCCGCAAACTCATTCGGTTGTCTCACATTCGTGGCTTATCACATGTAGAGGACAGCGACAGAATGGCCGTGATCCTAAGGGGTCCTCTCATATAAATACTAACCTCTAACGTCGTTAGGCCGCGTTCATACCGTGCGACGTCGTCGTCAACGTCGACGAAAGCTGCGTAAGCTGCGTAAGTTGCGTAAGCTGCGACTGGTTCGTGAATAATACATACGTATCGATCCAACGAAAGCTGCGTAAGTTGCGTAAGCTGCGTAAGTTGCGTAAGCTGCGTAACCGACGACAGCTTTCTCACGCTAGACTGGATACCATATCGATTGACGGACAAGCTGGTAGTTGCGTAAGCTGCGTAAGTTGCGTAAGCTGCGTAAGTTGCGTAAGTTGCGTAAGTTGCGTAAGCTGCGTAAGTTGCGTAAGCTGCGTAAGTTGCGTGCAGACGTGGCGCCACGTGGCACCACGAGTGCCTTGATAACATGAGGTTCACAGTGAGAGCAGAGATGTTCCTAATAATCTTGGTTTATTCTTTTCTTCTTTCTTTCTCAAAATCGCCGAACTCTCTTCATTTTTGTTCTTACTTTCTTCCTCGAAATTGCCGTAGTTATTAGGTCATCCCATTCAAACGTGCCGCTGGTTTTTTTGAATAAAACAAAGAGGAGAATAGATAGAAAAGTGATATTTTAGCTTTAGGATGAGTAAATCCCTCCTTCACCAATGACCCGCTCCCAGTGCCCCGAGGGCCTTTGGACCTCTGGTACCTTCGATTTTTCAACAAGGATATATACTAGGATGCCACGTCATAAGCCACGTCATGCTATTTTTCTCGAAAAACAGCAAGGATAGAATGGATTGAAGATAAATTGAGATGATTAAGGAAATAGGAAAAGGAAAGAAAAAAAAAAGGGGAGAAGTATTCTCAAAATGCAAAAAATGGCCCTACAGCCACTTCCGTCGGTTTCGTCGGATCGATACGTATCTATTCTTCTCGAAGTTGTCGTCGGTTACGCAACTTACGCAGCTTACGCAACTTACGCAACTTACGCAACTTACGCAGCTTACGCAACTTACGCAACTTACGCAGCTTTCTTTGGAT